AATGTATAGCGCGGTAATTAAATTCATCTTTACTTTCGCATTTTTTTTTACTTTATCCAAATAATATATTCCTTACGAAAGTATAAATAAGGACCTCTTCTTAATATAATAGTAAAATCTTTTGTATATCAAAATACATATAGGTTGAAAATAAAACATAATTCGCTGTACACCATCCTAGTTGAGGTTACACACTAATGGACGGCTCCATTCTCTTAATTCCGATCGCTTGTACATCGCTTGCCCCATCACTTGGCAATGATTATTGCAACGCCGCGCCGCAATTTTTTGTTTAAATCCTAAATCGATAAAAACTTCAAATACCTTAAAGCTACCTCAGAAGTTTTAATTACTTTTATTTCGAAATTATTTACCTCTATTATAAGATTAATCCAGAAATCTAGAACTATTTAACAGAGAAACGTTAACAATTCAATAACGCCATGAAATCGTAATAAATATCCTGTTATAATATTTTAACGGTACGATATTTTCACAAAGTATGTGTCACTGTGCTTCCGTTTATTACCTAATATATTAATCTCTTTTGAGAGTGAACTTTTATTACGCAAGATTATTAAACGTCGGCGTTAAACCGCAAATATCAATTTCGTTTATTAGCTTTTCCTTTATTACCAACGTAGTTTAACATAATACCAATAAAGCCTTGGAAAAACTTTTGAAATTTTACACGAAGTGTGTGAAAGATAACTTTAATATTCGTACACACATCAATAAGGATGTCTCACTAGCGCCCCCCTGACAACGGCAAAAAATGTCAAAGATCCTCTGTCTACTATAGCTGTCATGTAACTTTCTTTGAAGTCTTTTTATTCTGACAGAATAAACCACGATAGTAGCCGCCTCAGTACCTCACTAGCGCCATCCTGTCAAAGTCAAAATACATGTTGTACTGTAAAGCTATCACCGGGCTAGATATATTTTGACTATACGTACTTAAGCATATTAGTTTGAGTTTTTTGTGTGTTAATTTATACATATACACAATTATTCGTCATTTGTTTAATTACAGTCAAACAAAACTATAATAATTGTCTCCTTAAATGCACTAACATGTTCATTAAGCTTAATTTCGTGTCGTAATGTCTAAGACAAGATAATTAAGAGAAGACCAGTCGCATCCCACTTAAATAGGAAGTCATAAAAGGTGCATTTAAGATGGAATCCTTTTTAATTACACTTCAAAGTAGTGGTACTTACAATGTTAACGATGTCACATTACACTTTTATGATAGGTAATGTTTTTTGTGCGTGTGTATGTTTGTTTTAATGTATGTATGTAAATTCGTATTGTGTTTTTAGTTTTCAGAGTAGTTAGTTCCTATAGTAATAAATCATATTTAATAGTAACAAGAAGATTAAAAAGCAATTTCATATCGTTTAAATTTCTAAGCAAGGTATACTACGCGCTGAAACATCTCACAAGTTCTAAGACCTAAGCTTACACAAAGGAAATATCCAACTAAGTACATTAATCCTTTAAAGATAAAATATTCTGCACGTGGTACATGCTTTGGAAAATTTATTTAAGGGTTTGATGCAACATCAATGTTGCAGAAACGCACTTACAATTAAACATTAAAATATTATAGTTGCTTGTTTTACTGTTATAAAGGAATATTGCAAATATGGAATCATTTAGTTCAGACTTATCTGAAAAGAAGTAACTAATTTGTTAATATCAAATACAACTTAAAGATAACCAAAGTGACAGCTCATCCGTCATAGGGTCTTATGCTAAGAAAACTTTGTAATATCACAGTACAGAGTTTTCGCAATAGGTACTTAATATAGAACAAAAAGGTAATTTAGATTTTTATCGTATTTATGTCTTTTATCTCATCTCATCACTTTTATAGCTTTGAGGGTTGTGAGCTGTATGTAGCATATTTAATTATCATCCATACGTAAATGATGTTGAAAAACATATAAAGTTTTTTTTTTATTTATAATAGGAAGCCAATATATTACATGAGTGATTACAATGTTTTATAAAAAAATATTTATTTATATCTAAGAATACATATCATGTAATACACTTAAAGGCTAACACATCTTTTTAACAAAATTATATGACAAAAGAAGAAGTTATCTTTAAAATATTCGTTATTTAACCATAACACTGTTTAAAAATGAACAGAAAAAAACTATGCATTCTGTGACACAAAATAAAAAGAAAATCCACCCGTGTTTGCCGCATTAAAATTTTGAAACAGGCGTTCGCGCATAGTTCTGTTTTTAAACTGCCATTTAATCTAACTTACGCGAACACGAAATAAAGTTTTCGCAGCAAACAAGAGATGGTAAAAGGATAATGCATTTTAAGCATTTCTTTGTTGC